TGGGGCCCATTTAGCCTATTGGCTGAGCTATGGCTCGAGGTTGACTGGCTTGTCCGGGATCACGGGTAATTGGCTGCTGGCAGAGGGGGAATAGAGCCCTGGTGCAGACACCCGTGTTCTTGCTGTGAGACGCGCGCTCCCTCTGCCCAGACGAGAGGCGAGCGTCCGAAATTCCATCATGCAACCAGAGCGGGGGGTGCCCCAGAGCCCGCGGTGGGGAGGTGGGGTTCTTTGCCTGCCTTTGTTGGTGGCTTGCTGCGTGACCTGGAGCATGGGGCATGACCTCTCTGCATCGGAGCTGCTGTTGGTACAGTGGGACTGGCAGGTCTGGCCCTACGGTGTTGGGTGCTTCGGGTCCCCGGCTGAAAGGTGCTACGTGAGTGCTAAGCCGGAGTGGGTATTTGGGGCTGCCCTGCCATGCACCTTCTCAGCTTCTGGCCTCTTTGAGTGGCTGAGCGTGCCCAGAAAGCTGCAGGTAGCAGCTGGAGGGGGCCCAGCCTGTGAGCCCTGGCAGCTGCTCTACCTGCTCCTTGCAGGGCTGTTTTTACAAAATGCCTTCGATGTTTCCATTGGGGAGAGATTGCTGTTGGCCTCGGAGTCATTTTAAAAACAAAAAAAAAGTTTCACTCTGCATTTGCTCAGCAGTTTTTCATACTTAATTAAGGCTCTCATTAGCCTGTCAAAGCATGATCATTTCCTGGCTCGATTAGCACTCCTCCTGGGGTATTCAAGGGCCCCTGTTTTAGCAATAGTGTCTTTTCCATAATTATATTGCCTTCATTTTGTTCAAACGGACTCCCTGTATTAGTTTATTGCACTCAGTCCCTAATTACATGGTGCTTATATTTTTACACCTAAGTAATATGAAACAATAATCATTTTCAAAGAGGATCGTTAGGATGATGTATTATCATGTAAATGCTCATAAAAATTAGAGTTACCTCTTATGGGGCAGAGGGATCTAATTACCTTGCATCCAGCAAGCTCTCCTGCTTTTCCCATGGCTGTAAGTGTGGGATACGCACTCTTGCGGCTCCCCGGAGTGCGGGCTCTCCTTGGGCGTGGAGCCGCGCTGGAGCTCCGCCCGGCCGTGCTGGGTCGGGTCTGCGAGAGGCAGCCAGTTGCCGTCGCAGGGCAGCACGTTTCTGGGGTGCCCCTCGCACCGTGCTGACCTTGGGCACCCTACTGGTCCTGCAGCTCGGGGCCCCTTTGTGCAGGTGGGTCAAACGCCGCCCTGCAGGACAGCCCTGGGGAGGGGAGGGGAGGGCTGAGAGTCCCCTGGGTCAGGCCCAGACAGCTGCTTCAGCCTGTGCCCGGGGATGCTGTGCAAGTCTGCCTGACAAGCAGGGCCACCACGTTTCGGCACCTGAGGCGGGGAGCTCAAAAGACGCCCCCATGCCCCCTTTTCTCCTGCCTGCCTGTGTCTCTGGTGCCTCCTTCCTCCAGCCCAGCCTCCCCTCCATGGGCACCAGCAGCAGACACAGCTCTCTACACTGGCCCCCCCAGTCTGGTGCCTCAGTTCGTCTCACGGGCAGGCCGGCCCTGCCCTGGGGTTCCCCCCGGGCTCAAATCCCAGCCATGGCCAGTGGGGCTGAGCCCAGCCAGTCCGCCGCGGTGCCAGCTCAATTATCTGCCCCAGAGCCTCTCACCCGCCTCTGGGCGGGACCCCGGGGCGGCGGCAGGTACAGTCGTTTCTCTTCCCTCAAGCAGGGGCAGTCTCCAAGCCTGGTGCGCCCCGGGGAGGAGGACCCTGGCTTGCGGCACCCTGCGTCCCTCCGCGTCCGCCCCTTGCTAGCCCTGGTCCGTGGCTCTCCGAGCACCTGTCGTGAGGAGGCCGGACGCCATCGCAGGGCGCAGGGAAGGGAAGCGATTTTCCCAAGGCTGCGCACGTCTGCCTCTCCATGCGGCGCCCGGGGTCCGGCAGCGACCCCAGAGGGAGGGGGCAGTGAGTTCCCCTCCGAGAGAGTTTCCTGGGAGCGGAGAGCCTGGCGTAAGAGCCAGCCCCTTGCCCATCCTCGCTGCAGGGCCTGCGGAACATCCCGATGCCACCTGGCCACCCTGCGGAGCCGTAACTGTGCGTCTGTGGCAGTGGCCATGCTCCCCCTCCTCCCTGTGCTCCGCCGCCTGTGACCTCACACCCGTCTCCCTGGCAGCTGCCTGTGAGGTCACAAATGGACGATTACGCCTCCAACGCGGGGCATGGGCAGAAGCAGCAGGCACAAGGGTTTGCAAACCTCCTGGCTCCCAGAGAGGATGGAGGGTCCTAACCTAACCCCAGATGGGCCGCAGAACTGCCCCCAGCCCGCGCTGGCGTCTGAGTAACACCCGGCCCATGGACGGGCACGCTGCTGTAAATGTAACGCTCCTTTGCTACTCCTCCTCCCCCAGGATCTAGGCAGAGAAAGGAAGGGCCAGTGTTAGCCTGGGGCCCCGGCCAGTTCCCTGCTCTGCCCCACAGCCCTGGTGGGCGTGTGGGAAAGTCCCTTGGTCTC